CAGAGTGGCAGCGTGGTGATATTTGGTGGCATTGACTCTTCTTACTACACTGGAAGTCTGAACTGGGTTCCTGTTTCTGTCGAGGGTTACTGGCAGATCTCCGTGGACAGGTGAGACTGCCATGGATGGACAGCATCCAGGCCTGGGCCCCACATCCCATTTCCTTATGGATTCATAGCTAACCAGCTTTCCAGAATCCCCCCAGGAACAGCTGACACAGGGGAACACAATTCCGGGGGAAGGTGGAAGTTGTCCAGGCCAGAGAGACGCCCCTCCCTGGCGGAGGAGGGAAGAGCTGTCAAGGAAGCCGAGCCACTGTCCTCCTAGTCACGGAGGCAGGACAATCCACCAGCATCCCTGGGGAAAGCTGGGCGACCACCTGTCCACACATCTCAATTTAAGGGGCCTGGGACCCAGCACATGCTCCTCCAACTCGAGGAAATGTGTCACTTTCAGTCTAGAAGTAGGGCAAAATGGCTAAGAAATTACGTGAAGTCATTTCTCAAGAGTGAACAATTTCCCAGGACAAAGACTTTCCGTACTAAAACTAGGACCATCCCAGGCAAACCAGGACACATTGATCACCTCATGTCTGCCCAGCCATGCTAGAATTTCACCAGTTCCTCCAACTCCTGCCCCAGTCCTCTGGTCTCTGTCCCTTCCCGCATACCGTCCCCTGTTGATGTCCTCCTTCTCTCTTCACCTGCCTGGCATCCCTGGGTGTCTGCTCCGCTGGCTGCTTCCCTCCACCACCTCTCACCCTGGACCCTGTTTTGTTCCCTGCCGCAGGCCTGGCTTATCATCCTGCCCTTCTGCCACCATAACTTATCTTGACAGCCAGGCTGGGAGCTCCCTGCAGCCTGGAACTGTGAGGCTGTCTGGTTTAGCTTTGCGTTTCCCATGCCTGGGAGAGAGTAGGCACTTGTAAAATATTTGTTGGGTAAATGAATGCAGGATGAATGAGTATGTGAATGAGAGGAACAGAAATTTCACGCACTGGCCAATGGATGGGTGGGGAAGAAATGTCTGGGGTTACCTCCTGGTTCCTCCTTGGAGAGATGTACCCCTGAGGGCTCAGGGACCTTCACTTGCTTCTTGCCCTCAGCATCACCATGAACGGAGAGGCCATCGCCTGCGCTGAGGGCTGCCAGGCCATTGTTGACACCGGCACCTCTCTGCTGACCGGCCCAACCAGCCCCATTGCCAACATCCAGAGCGACATCGGAGCCAGTGAGAACTCAGACGGCGAGGTGAGTCCAGCCCCCGACGGCTCTGTTCTACACTCAAATAGTGGGTGTGCCAGGCACACGGGACCAAAACCCTTCCAACTTTTCTCACCTCACTCTTTCCAGATGGTGGTCAGCTGCTCAGCCATCAGCAGCCTGCCTGACATCGTCTTCACCATCAATGGAATCCAGTATCCTGTGCCACCCAGTGCCTACATCCTGCAGGTGCGGCTCTGGACCATCCACTAGAGGGGCTCACACAGAATGTGGCCACAGAGTCCCCCTCTGCAGAGGGAAAGTGCGCTTCCACCAGCTGAAGTCGAGAGGCAGAGGCAGACGAACATCTGCCCCAGACAGCTCCGGAGAGAAGGAACAGATTAAAAACAAACACAGAAATAAGAACTCGGATACAGCCCCCTAAGGGAACAAGTGAAGCAAAGGTTAATGGAGGGAAAAGAGGATTCTATTTGGACGCCTGGGTCCAAGTCCTGGGTCTGAATTACCAGCCCATTGATTCTCAGCAAGCCACAGCTCATCTCAGCCTCAGTTTTCTCATCCAAAATGTAGACATGGCAGCTTTCCCCACCCTCAGAGTGCGGTTAGGTTAACCAAGTGAGACTCATCACATCAGAACTACGAAGGGTTGGGCAAATGGAAATCCTCATTTCCATAGGCTGGGGCTTCCAACACTCCTACCGTCTCTACCAAGTAGCAAATCTTTAGCTGTACGAGCCACAGGAAAACTCTCCCTTCTATTATTATAACGTCAGGTGGAAAACTGATTTTGCCTGTGGACTGATGTTGCTCAACAAGAAGCACTGATGCCTGGGCTCCCCCAGTGATTCTGATTACATTAGGAGAGGGCAAGGCCTGAGCAATGGGATGGGGCTACGGGGGTTCAAAGCTCCCCAGGTGACGTGCAGACAAGGTCGCAGACCAGTGATTTACTGAGGCAAGAGGGCTAACAGCTCATACGGTTTGCCCCTGGTCGGGATCACAACAATCATGAGAAAAGGCTACATCGACAGGGTTTTCACACTCCTTCCTACCAGCTGAATTCTCCCCAAGTCCCTTAGCTCTGATGCTGATGTCAGGGCTCCTGTGCCTGCCAGAAACGCCAGATAATGTCCAGTAATGCGTAGAAACCAATCGTGCTGTGGACAGCTTCTACAGGCCAGCTCCAGGCCAACAACAGCTGAGTCCCTGGACACTGAGCCAGGAAGCTCCTCCTTGCACGTGCCTTGCAGCTGGACCAGGGCGCCCTGGATGTTTATCACCCAGTGCCGGTCACTGCTGAATCGGCCTCTCAACTCCACTTTTATTCTCCTTTTCTCCAGAGCCAGGGCAGCTGCATCAGCGGCTTCCAGGGCATGGACGTCCCCACCGAATCTGGAGAGCTTTGGATCCTGGGTGATGTCTTCATCCGCCAGTACTTCACTGTCTTCGACAGGGCAAACAACCAGGTCGGCCTGGCTCCCGTGGCTTAAGCCCAAGTCTTTCCAGCCACCTCCCAGGAAGATCTGACCTCCGTCCTCTGCCCACTTTAGATGTATCAAATTCTCCTGACTGTCCTT